TAGTTATAAAAAATTTTTTTAATAATAATGCATTTCATATGAATCAAAAAATAGAATTATTTCATAAAATTACTTATAATAATAATTTTCAAAAAATAAAATTAGATTTAAAAACAAATTCCCGAAATTCACAAACTATTTATAGTGGTTGGATGACAATGCAAGCTCATTTTAATTATTCACTACCATCACAAAATGAAAAATATTGTCATGTTACTGAAGTTATAGAAAAATATATGCAAGTATATTTCATTAATTTTACAGATATTAAGATAGATGATATAATTAATTATTTTAAGACAAATAAGGAATTTTTTATAGATATAGATCTTGGAAAAACATATTTTTCAAAAGTATTAGGATCAAATAATTTATATGATTTTTATTTTTATTTAGAAAATTGTCTATTTCCATTAATTATAAGCTTAGAATCTTTAATTGCAAATCTAATTAAAATTAACTTTCCTAAATTATATGATAATTTCAATATTAATTTATCAGGTATTAAAACAAAGCTTCAATTTTTAAAAGCTTTGCAATAAATTTTAGTATATCAGGTAAAGTTGATCAATTAAATATATTAAGACAAGGTGGTACTGATCTACATAAAGATTTGTGTTGTAGTAGTTTTTGGAGATTTTGAAGGAGGAGATTTGGTATTAAGTAAAATAGGAATTACAATCAAAATTAAAGGTGGATATATATTTTTATTAAAGTCAGCTTTACTAGAATATTTTAATTTATTAATTATTAGAAATAGATTTGCTATAATATATTATTTAAGAAAATATTTTTATAATGAAGTTTAATAATTATTTAATAAATACTGTAGAATACTACACAAATACCCTAGATATAAATTGATTTTTTCAATTTAAAAATTGATTCATATCTTGGGTATTTTGTGAAGAACAGTATATAATAAGTAGTAGGATATTTAAATAGGAGGTATTATAGCAGTAACGTATTGTAAAAGAGTTACAAAATACAAACTAACCTTATATGGATAGTATTCTATTAAAATTGAGGTACGGATCATATGATTTACTATGTCTTGTAACCCACTTTTAATAGATCAGCTCCCATATAATCTATACTGATAACTTATATAGCATAAATAGCAATAATATATAATATATTATAAATATAATAAATAAAACATACATTCGGCATTTTGCAATTATCCTTTTTGTTCTCTTTTATTTATTTTACATATTTTTTTTAAGAATTTTATTGTAAATTTACCTTTAATTTCCCCATAAAGAATTTCCTAAAGGAGTAGTTAATGTAAATTCACAAGGATGGATAAATGAAGAAGAAATGATATAGTAGACTGAAAATATTTGGTCAAAACGTTTATAATAAGGTAGCAATCCAAGATCTCTTTTGGTATTAAATTCATTTTCTGCTCATAAAACTGAAGTTATAAAGAAATGGATTCGTGTAAAAAACTAATATAGTAATTATTCCAGGCAGACTAACTTTCAAATTATAATCACGTGATATTTCCTTAAACAAACCTCCTAAAAGAAAACAAACAAAAAATGGTACTATGTATTATAAGGAATTTAGAAGTTATTATTGGGTCAAACTAGGTAAATGGTATTTTTCCTTTCTTATTTTGAATCTTATTAATAAATTTAATTTAATTATATCAATATTTTCAGTTATTTATAGAACTAGATAATAATAACATTAACAACTTCAATAGCAGCAGTAGCAGCTACAATAATAACTTCAACTGCAGCAGTAACTGTTATAACAACGTTAATAGTATGATACAAATAGCCAAATCACTTTTGTCTTTGAGTATTGAAGAAAAAAAAGAAAAAAAAATGAGTGCAAGACAATCAAGTTGGAAAATGAATTATAATAATGAGTAATGGTGGGTTTTTTGAGTTAAAAAGAATTTACTAGATTTAAACATATATATAATTCTTTAATTCTTTATGCTTTTCTTTATAGTTATCAAATTACTTTTGGATTTATTGAGGGGGTTTTTTTTATATATAATAATTACTTTGTCAAGGGAGTAAATTTTTTTATATAATAAATACTTTTTGCAATTTGTAAAATTTTAAAATAGTCAATTGCTTTTATTATTTTTTTGCTTAATTGAATAATTAATTCAAAAATATTTAATCTTCTAAGCATATAAATTATGAAATTATACAATTAATATTAAATTATATTTGATAAAATATCTTTATTTTACATTCATTATAGTCCTTTCAATCATGTATATTCTATTGTTACATAAACAAAAAGTTTTTAAAATTGGCTAA